GACTGCGAAGGGCGGGCGGGCCGGGGGCGCCTAAGGAACACACGTGGTCAGGACAAAAGGCGCCGCAGTCCCGAAAGGATCCTTTAAAATAGCAGAATCCAGGCACTTTCACTCTAGCAGCACTGACGTCTAAGGAGCTGACCTCTTGTTTGAAACCATAGACATTTTAAACTACATTTACAACTACAGAACTGACACAACACACTCCTTGCCAATTTAAAAAGGTCAGTAAACCTAACATTGGAATGATGTATAAGGCATAGAACACTATTCTACACAGTTGGCAAGGAAGTAAATTGATGCAGCCTTTTTTTTTTTTTTTTAGCATGTTTCAAAGATTTGAAACAGTAACAGGACACTTTACAAAAAGTTGTGTGGGAAATAAAATTCTTAAACTATACATAGAAATGTAACATTACAGAGTATCTTATAAAACACAATGACAGAAATATAAAAGGACAGTGGATGCAGCCTTTCTTAATGGCATCTTGCTAGTTCTCCCGAGGCGGTCTCTTTCATCCGACATTTACTCATTCAACAAATATTTATTGAGCACCTTTTAAGGTGCCAGGCACCATTCTAAGTGATGAGGATAAAATAATGAAGAAGACAGTACCCTTATAGACAGAAGAGATAGTCAATAAATAAGAAAATAAATAAATTTTATATAGTGCTATGCGTTATTTAAAAAATAAGCATGGCCCTAGCCGGTTTTGCTCTGTGGACAGAGCGTGGCCTGAGGCCTGAGGGTCCTGGGTTCAATTCCGACCAAGGGCACATGTGGGGGCTGTATGCTCAATCCCCAGTAGGGGGCGTGCAGAAGGCAGCCAATCAATGATTCTCATTATTGATGTTTCTATCTCCCTCTCTCTTCCTCTCTGAAATCAATAAAAATATATTTAAGAAGAAAAGAAGAACTGCCTTATATTTGAGAAGACCACTCTGGTTGCTGTGTGGAGAAGGGACTTAGAGGGCTAAGAGGGAAGCAAGGAGAGCAATAAAGAAACCACTGTGACCTGGTCAGGTGGCTCAGTTGGTTAGAGCATCACCCTGTACACCCATCGGCTTTGGATTTGATCTCCAGTTGGGGTGTGTATGGGAGGCAACCAATCAATATATCTCTCTCACATCGACGTTTCTCTCTCTCTCTCCCCCACCCTTAGTCCCTCCCTGCCTTGCTCCCTTCCTCTCTTTATTGTCAATATATATTCATTAATATATATTCATATATATATATATATACACACACACTAGAGGACTGATGCACGAAATTCATGCAAGGGACTTGGCCCGCAAAACCCCAGCTTCGTCCAGAAGGTCGTCCAGAAGGACGTTCAGCTGTCTGGTCTAATTAGCATATTACACTTTTATTATTATAGAAGATTAAAGAGCTGATGCATGAAATTTGTGTAAGAGTAGGCCTTCCTTCACCCTGGCTGCTGGCACCAGCTTCCCTCTGGCACCCGGGACCTGGGCTTCCCTCCAGCCGCTGGCGAGCACCCAGGACCCAGGCTTCCCTCACAGCCCCAGCTTTGTCTAGAAGGTCCTCTGGTCTAATTAGCATATTATGCTTTTACTGGTATTATTTTAGATTATCTTTGTGCACAAACTAGATCCATTGTTCTTTTGATGTGCATTAAATTTATAGATAATTTTCAGAGAAATTAAATTTGTAAAGGATTTTTTAAGTATTTATTGATTTGAGAGAGAGAAACATCAATGTGGGTAACATCGACTGGATGCCTTGACCAGGGATGGAACCTGCAACCCAGGCATGTGCCTTGACTGGGAACCAAACCAGCGAGCTTTTAGTTTATGCAACAACATTCCAACCAATTGAGCCATACCAGCCAGGGCAAGAAATGACATCTTTATAGTAATGGTTTTTCTCACCTAGAATAAGGCATATCTCTTCCATTCTTCTTGGCCTTTATTATCTTTCTAAAGTTGTTTTTCTATTAGTATCTTTTAACACAATAGTTTTCATTCCATGCAGACCACTTACCTTTCAGTTCCAAAACCACTTTAGATATGTAGCAATAAAGATCTCATTACCTTCTGGTCATGACCCTTTGACAAAAGTGATTGATGAGCCTACAAGAAATGTTTAAATATTGAAATAGGTGAACAGTGAACTTAGAAGTTGGTGATAGAACTGAAGATGGGGAAGTGGCAGCTGGTGGGCAAGGCCTGTGTTTAAACCTTAAAGATGATCTCATGCCGAGACTGGTTTGGCTCAGTGGGTAGAGCATCGGCCTGCGGACTGAAGGGTCCCAGGTTCGATTTCGGTCAAGGGCATATACCTTGGTTACGGGCATGTATCCCTCTCCCTTCCTCTCTTCCTCTCCCTTCCTCCCTTAATCAATAAAATACATTTAAAAAAAAAGATTATCTCAGACCATGCCATGTGGCTCAGTGATTGAGCATCGACCTGTGAACCAGGAGGTCACAGTTTTAATTCCTGGTCAGGGTACCTGCTAAGGAGGTCACAGTTTAATTCCTGGTCAGGGTACTTGCCTAGATTGGGGACTCGATTCCCAGTAGGAGGCATACAGGAGGCAGTTGATCTATGATTCTCTCTCATCACTGATGTGTCTCTCTCTCCCTCTCTCCTCCTCTAAAATAAATAAAAATATATTTAAAACAAAACAAAAGAAGATGATCTCAGAAACAATCTTGTGTGTGTGACTTTTTGTTGCATACTAAAGTGGAGGGGGGGAGTGTGAAGTTGGTTCATTTGGAGAAGACAGCGAGAGTACGAAAAAGGAGATGGAAGAAGAAATACTGTAGCTCCTTAAATCCAAAATGTCAGTCATCCATCCTCCTCCCAAAATCCAGTCAATTTTGCCCTAGAAATAACTCTTCAGCCTGGCCTCTCTTCTTCCCTCCACTCTGTGGTTCATCATCTCCTCTCGATTAGTTTTAGGCTACAACGTCCTTGCTACACTCCCTCCACCCTCCACATTGCCCAGAATTATCTTCCTAAAAGAGACATGTCATCATGCCACTCCTTTGCTTTAAGGAACACTACTGGATCCATGTGTCCTTCTCCGGAGAAGCGCCTCAGTCTCATTCCTTTTTACCTGTTATACAAAATCCTTCACACTGTTCCAGCCTTCCTTCCCAGCCTTCTCTCTCCTTGTCTTACCCCACAATCCCTTCGGAACAGGCTGACCCTTGCCTTTCTCTGCATTTGGAACGCCCTTTCTCAGCTTCTGCCCGCCATTCATAAAGATTGTCCTCAAATGTCCCTTCCTCTGGACAGCCTGCACTCCTCCACCCCCACCCCAGCAAAACCCTAATAGTAGCTGCTTTGTCTTCTGAGTCATAACTCCATTATAGCATTCCTGGGATCATACTTATTTATGTGTTTCCTCAAGTATACTAGGAAAGCAGGAGTCCTGTTAATTCATGTCTGTGTCCCCATCGCCCTAGCATTGTGACTGGAACAAAATAGGCACGGGTAGATGGAAGAATGTTAGAATGTTAGCTGCCATGAGTGGATGGAGGAGATGAGTAGTCCGAGAAAGTAGGCAAAGTAATCCTGCAAAGATCAAAGACAGACACCAGGGGGAGCTGACACACCACAATAAAGAAGTGGGAGGGCTGGCCAAGAAAGCTGCCCCCACTGGAGTAAGCGGTGCGCACCGAAAGCACGCATCCCCCGGCTGGAACCGCTGAGCCACGTGTGCATCCCCTCGCCCTCCGCCCAGACCACGCCTGAGCTCATGCTACAGCCCCCACCGCCTCCACCGCCCCACCAACCCCGTGTTCTCCACCGCCACTGAGAAAGCAAACAAAGGGGAGGAGACTCCTGCAGGGGTCTGGATGCCGGGAGCCAATCTGAGGGCTGTACTCTCCCGGAAGGCGGGCGCCTCCTTTTAAGGGAGCCCAATCAGTCCCTCGGGGAGAGTAAGGATGGGGGAGAATGGGCGGGAAGAGCTGGGAGTTGGGAGGGACCCCCCGAGAGGGACGGGACCGGCGGGCGGGGCGGAGCCAATCACTGTGAGTGTCTGAGAGGAGAGGGCGGGCTGCGTGGCAGCGCGCGCGATCCGGGCTGACGCATCTGGCCCTGG